ACAAAGGAGGAGGCTGCAATGCTTGGTAAGAAATGTATGCACTATCCTGCCCATGTAATTGTAACCCCTCTGTACAGTATGTTCACAAATAAAATAAAATTAAATTTAAAAAATAAATAAAACACACAAAAAACATTCTTTTTAACTTCCTTCTGGAAACATAGCAAAAACCCTTTCATCTTTGAATTTCATACAGGATATACAACTTGGTAGACACCCTCAAAAATGTTATGCCTAGATGGACTGGGAATTTGGCTTAGTGGTAGAGTGCTTGCCTGGGTTCAATTCCTCAGTACCACATCAGCAGAAAAAGCCAGAAGTGGCGCTGTGGCTCAAGTGGTAGATTGCTAGCCTTGAGCAAAAGAAGCTCCAGGGACAGTGCTCAGGCCCTGAGTTCAAGACCCAGGACTGGCAAAATAAATAAGTGAAATAAACAATATATATTATATATATAACATATATATGCATAGTCCTAATTCTGGCAGCATGGAAACAGATAAAACATCTATTCAGGCCCTTTCTGTCATTGACAGGATCTCTTTGGTGTCTGTCTTTATTAATTGATCTCTTTAAAGTTAACCATTCATTATCTGGATGCTTTTCCTCTGGCAATTGTTCCATCTTTCCATAGCTGAATTGTTCAAGCATATCTACTTCTGATTTCTCCAAACTGGATTCCTCTTCCATCACTCTACTGAAATTGTTCTTTGAAAGCTAAGATAGAGACCTCTTCCTACCAACTCTACTCCACTAACCCTTTTATTAAGGAACGCATATCTATCTTTTTTTTGGGGGAGGGGGGGAGCGGTTGTGGAGCCTGAACTCTTGGGCCTGGGCTCTGTTCCTGAGCTCTTCAGCTCAAGGCTAGCATTCTACCACTTGAGCCACAAAACCACTTCTGGCTTCTGCTTATGTGGTGCTGAGGAATCGAACCCAGGGCCTTATGCATGCAAGGCAAGCACTCTACCACTAAGCCACCTTCCCAGCCCCAACATATGTATCTTTTCTGTTTCCTCTGACAATGACAGTTTTTCAGTGGATACTTCTCAGCCTTAACTGATATACCAATATGGCACATGAATCTTTACAACCCCCCCACCCAAAATCGCTTTTTTAACACATCATCCATCCTTTCCTGCTTCCCACAGGACTCAAAGAAAGGTTATGTTCTTGCCTCAAGTGGTATGCAGCCCACCTAGTAGGCTCATGGTCCCAAATCCAACCCCAGAATTGGGAGCAAAGGGAGGCCAAGGTGATCAAAGGAAAGTTATGGCCTGAGCTGGGATGGTGGCTCAGTGGTAGAGTGCTTGCCTTGCATGCATGAGGCCCTGGGTTCGATTTCTCAGCACCACAGAAAAAGCTGGAAGTGGTGCTGTGGCTCAAGTGATAGAGCGCTAGCCTTGAGCTGAAGAACTGAAGCCCAGAGTTCAGGCCCCAAGACCAAAAAAACAAACAAACAAACTTCCACGGGATTTGCTAGTTCAGGTAATCGAATCTTCCTGTACTTTGTCACATAAGTGGATAACTTGCATTTATTAGAGTATACACATAGATCATCTCATTAGAACCTACACTTCTCAGAAGAAGGGTTGTTTTCTTCAGAATCCCTCCACCAGCTTGGGGCATAGCATTTGTCCTTTCGGTGATCTCTCAGATGATGGTAGGATCGGACTACTTTTTCAGATTTAATATAAACGAAATGCAGAACCCACCATCTAGCGTTTGCCCCTGTCTCAGTTCAGTGGCCTTCCCACTTTGGCCTCCATCTCACAGGAAGATGAAGGGGCCAGGCCAGAAAAAAGCTACTTCGGCTCGCAGCATTTTTTTTTCGGGAGATAATCTGGAAAGGGAGGCAGTGAAGATTTTCTCCCTCGTATCTGAGGATGTTTTAACCAGGGCTGCGGCGGCTGGGAGAAAAAACGGCGCAGGCTCTTATGGGGATTAATCGTTCCTGAACCTCACGACAGGTTTCTCCCACCCCTGCTGGGCATCCAGGCCTTCCCCTCGGTTCTTTTCCGGTGCCTTCAAAGAGCACCAAGGGTCAGAAGTCCAGGCAACCGCCCCAGGGCCTGGAGGAGGCTTTGAAGCCCCCCAGGGGCAGGCATCTGGGAAGTCGAGGCTGGCCGAAGCACTCCGACGTCCTTCTCAATTTCAGGGGGTCGCTGGGACCCGGTACTCACCTTCCCTGAACCCGCGAGCTGGAAGCCGAGACCAGCTGGTGGCCGCTGGGCCTGCCAGGAGCCCTTGGAGCATCCGTCCGCAGCCAGACACCAGCGCTCGAAGGGCCGCCATTTTGAAAAACAACCGTGACCTCTTGTGCACTTCCGCTTCCGGGTCTCGGCACGCAGCCGCACTGGCGGGGCCGGAAGTAGGGCGAAGACTGTCCGTACCGCTTCCTCTCGCGTTTCTCTGCCGGCCTGTCTGAGCTGGGGCCTCGGCAAAGGCCTCTGTGTGAAATCTGCCAGTCCTCCGACTTCAAGGTTGCTTTTATTCCCTGGCTGTGTCCCCGTAACACCGCACGCCACCTGTTTCACTGTAGCCAGTTGGGGAACTACGTGTCCGTGGTGGAGTCTCCCTCGAGTCCCGGATACTGGCTCTTAGCACCCGGCAGCTCCTCGTCGTCGTACTTGACACGGTTGCTGTGCTGCACTTCTATCTCCCCACCAGATTGTAAAACCAATTAAGACAGGAACATGGCCTTTTGGTTTTTGTTTTTGGTTGTTTTGTTTTTGCCTCATATCTCAAACACCTAGCACAGTGCCTGATACATAATTGTGCAATAGGTCCTTGTTGAATGAATGAGTAGAACCTATTTGATAGGGTGATTGTGTTAATGGCGATAATGTCTCTTAACAGGTTTGACATACTTGCCATTATAAGGATGCTTATGGTAGCAAAAAGAAAATGCAGCTTTCTAGTGTTTGCTCTTCCATTGGCGAGGCAGGGGCTGGGCTCAAGTGGTAGAAAGGCGGGGGACGGGGGGGGGGGGACCCGGAGGAAAGGTGAGGGAGGAGAGCACTCAAGCCCCAGTTTGGTCTCCCCTCTCCCAACAAAAGATTTGCAGGACATATGGGATGTTCCCTGGCTAAGAAAGGAAAGTAATTTCGAGCTTAGTTTTTCCAGTTGGTGGTAAGGGTATTCTTTTCCATCATAATAAACCTGAGGGGGATTTTCTAGTTATTCAACTGTGATTCATAGTTGAGGAAAATCAGGCTCCTTAAATAGTTAAATGATTAAATGATGAGAGGGGAGGAGGAGCCTATTGTCTACACTGGATTGCCACACTGGTGGGCACTGAGGATGCAGAACAATTGATGTGTAAGGAGCTTATAGCATCACCATAAACAGGGAGAGTGCTGGGGTACCATAAAACACTTCATTTAGCAAAGGCAGACCTTTGAAGTGGAAGCTTGAAAGGTCAAAGTGGGAGAGACATTCAGAGGCACTGATTAGAAATGGAGAAGAGAGGGTCTTGATGTGGTACAGAGTTAGGTGTCCCAGGCAAGATCATTGCTTTGACTCTCCCTTTAGCTTCTACTTTTCTATATACATGACTTTGAGCCACTTGTTTGTATTATATTGTTTTTTTTTCTTTTGTTTTTCTTGTCAGTTGTGGGGCCTGAACTCTGGGTCTGGGTGCTGTCCCTCAGCTCTTCAGCCCAAGGCTAGCACTCTACCACTTGAGCCACAGTGTCACTTCTCGCTTTTTCTGCTTATGTGGTGTTGAGGAATTGAACCCAGGGCCTCATGCATGAAAGGCAAGCACTCTTCCACTGAGCCATCTTCCCAGCCCTATATTCTGTTTCCTTACCCATCCTCGACTTTTGGGGACTAAGTGGAGACCAGAGCGGTAACAAAGCTCCACCCAGTATTTGTTATGGTTGCAATGAGGTGAAGCATTCACATGCCAACCTTATTTTTATTTTCTGTTGGTCATGAGCTTGAACTCTGGGCCTGGGCGCTGCCCCTCAGCTATTCAGCTTAAGGCGAGTGCCCTACTACTTGAGCCACAGCGCCACTTCCGGCTTTTTTCTTTATGCTTATGTGTGCTGAGGAATCGAACCCAGGGCCTCAGGCATGCAAGGCAAGCGCTCTACCACTGAGCCACCTTCCCAGCCCCGATGTTTTCTTTTTTTTTTTAAAGAATAATTTCCTTACAGTTTGCTTTTAGATAGATACTCAGTTTATTTGGAGTTGTTTGGAATTAACATCCCTTTTCACTTATAGCATTATCTTACTTATGGCCCATTACTTGGATTGGGGTTGTGACTCAAGTGGTAGAGTGCCTGTATTGCGAACAACTAAGTTCAAACTCTAATTCCCAAAATAATTTTTTTTTCTTGTCGGTTGTAGGGCTTGAACTCTGGGCCTGGGCACTGTCCCTGCACTCTTCAGCTCAAGGCAAGCGCTCTACCGCTCTACGGCTCGCCCCTTCCATAGGGCCACAGTGCCCCTTCCAGTTTTCTAGTGGTTAATTGGAGATAAGAGTCTCTTGGAAGTCTGAGAAGCTGGCTCAGTGGTAGAGCGCTTGCCTTGCATGCTTGAGGCCCTGGGTTCGATTCCTCAGCACCACATAAGCAGAAAAAGCCGGAAGTGGGACTGAGACTCAAGTGGTAGAGTGCTAGCCGTGAGCTGAAGAGCTGAGAGACAGTGTCCAGGCCCAGAGTTCAGGCCCCACGACCAGAAAAAAAAAACAAACAAAACAATAAAAGGGTCTCTTGGACTTCCCTGCCCAGGCTGGCTTTGAACCGGGATCCTCAGATCTCAGCCTCTTGAGTAGCTAGGATTACAGGCGTGAGGCACCAGTGCCCAGCCCCACTTTTAGTTTTTTTTTTTTTTTTTTGGGTCCGGTCGTGGGCCCTGAACTCTGGGCCTGGGTGCTGTCCCTCAGCTCTTCAGCTCAAGGCTA